ATCTCTTATTTCTACAGGACCAAACCTTTTGGTTGCATGAAAATAACTTAGACCACATTAATGAAAAATGTATGAATAATTTTAGGTTTAACTGTTATACAACAAACTCCTTCTTACATAACAGGCGACAGAGTATCTCAGGTTTTGCTAAACCCATCATCTGTGTGATACAGCTATATATATTATCCTCACACCTTAGAACAAACAGAAAGTATTGCAACAATAATTCTTTAGATATAAACAAAGTAATCCATAAATCATTTCTGGTTTACCAGGAATGCACCAGCAGGAAGGTAACAAAAGGATAAGAACTCTATTTCTACATCTCTCTGAGACAAATCATAAGCCATTAAAATATAATACATAAAAAATAAAAACAAAAAGCAAGATAAACCAGATTATCTGCCGAGAATGCAACTTCTACTAAGGCAGACAAGTGGACAGTGAATGAAACTCCAGTCACACACTTAGGGCCTGATCCTCTGAAGTTGTACGTGTCTTAAAACAGCTGCAAACGTGTTTGTATGTGCAGATTAGAACTTTAAAGAAGGTACAAAGGGAGTTGCATTTGCAATTCAGCAGATAGCATGTGCAAACAATTTCGGGGGTGATAATTCGCATTGCTTGCTCCTCACATTAGGAATACTTTTCATCAGTGATAAATGTGGGATTTAGGCATCTTTGTTTAGACTTGTTGGGTAAAAACTTGATGCGTGTAAGAGAATGTTGTTGGATACAACCGGATCTGCAGTGGAATGACACATACAGTATATGCCAAGCATATGCTGAAGGTAGTGACAATGACAGTCTGTCCAACCTGCAAAACAGTTATATGGCAATAGACTGGATAATTTCTTCAAAAAAGAACAATCTGGTGTATCTATCTAATTTATATGTTCATTAAGTTTTAATGTGGTCTCCTGTCATGGAAAAGAGTGTGTGTATTGTTTTTGTCCTACCTCCAGATATCTCATTAGCGCCGTCAGGAGGTCTAACTGAATCTGTAAGCCTTTGGGGTTCAATTTCATCTCTTCCATCACTTTCACCTCTGGCAGCTTTTTTAGCTGGAATGGTAAAAAACAAAAAACAAACAGAAATAGAAATGTTTTATTCCATTAATACAATCT